TTATTTCTCCACCTTTATTGTTGATTAATGTAATTTTTGGTCAGATGTGGTTTTTATTTTTTGTTCATAATTATTATTCATAAGGGATCTCGTCCCAGAATGAAGTTTTTTTTTTCTATCTATCTATCCATATATATATATATATATATATATATATATATGGATATATCCATATATATATATATATATATATATATATATATAAATTGGTTTTTTATCAATTTTCTCAGTTTGCATTCTATTTAACAGTTTACTTATATATATATATATATATATATATATATATATATATATATATATATATATATATATATATATATGTTTTCTCTTACACCGTATTTTCACACTCACTGCATTTTCATCCCGGTTAAATTTTTTATATCATGCATTAATTTACCGTTTTTTAATAATCACATTTAATACGTTTAATTTTTATCAACTCTACCATTTCACCATTTTGAATTAATTAATACATAGCTTATGAAAGTTTCACCCAAATTTATGAAAAGGAGGTGGATGCTTTCTTGAATACTGTGGAAATCACTTCAAATCGACAACATCTTTCGAAATATCATTATTTAATTCTGTGATTCCAAAACGGGAAAATCCAATGAGATTGTATAAATATATGTTCATTTCCACTGCCGTAATTCGTGTTATAAACTGCGTGACTGGTTAAATAGGATTACCTTAATAAGGAGAATTTTGTACCTTCGGTATGACGTTATTCCTAAACTAGAATCAATTTTTTGATCACTTAAGCAAAAGCTAATGGTGTGACAGACTTGGTAACGGTGTCTGTTTTAAACCGGAAGTTACCAGTGCCATCTAGATACATACCATGCTCTCTAAGACGTTGCATTACGAGGGGAGCAAAACAGCGATAAATTAATTGTTAATGTTTTAATGTTTTGAAAGAAACTAATTGTCTTTAAAAAAAAGCACCCTCTATTTTTAATCAATTTAATTTTAAAATGACACCCTTTAATGGATTTTCTTTTCTGCTTGGCTATTCTTGGACCGAACCTTTTTTTCTCCAAGTTCCGTAGTTTTAGTGTATCGTAAGTTCTCTCTGTGAGATCCTCCATTTTATGAAGTAAAATTGGAAGGGGCTGAACGAGCCCATCGTGGGTTTCTAATAAGTATCGAGTACTGTACTTCCATTCCCTGCCTCCCCCACCTTCCGAATCGGCTCTCCCAGTGAGTCATGACTGACCTCAATTTTAACGATTGTCTTAAATCACGACAGGCGTTGAATAGGGTAAGGTCGCACTTATGTATCGGCCTGAGTCCATAAAATCAAATTATTATTGTTTAGCGCAATTCAAATCTCTCCTATCGGTTGTATTTACTTTACTATTAGATATATTTTGCTAATGACTTTTTGTAAGCCAGTTTTACATGTTTTTCAGTCATAAATCTCAATTCATAATAAATGTTGCAGAAATGGAAAATGTTAAAAAAAGAGAATCATCCTTGGCTGCTAAATAGCCTACATTAATTTGAATTAAACACCAAAATAGAATTAAGAAATAATTTATAAATTAATTATCTTTATTTGTGAATTATTTTTGCTTCATTGATCCACTTGACCATTCATGCTACAATTAAACGAGCTTGCATCGTATAAAATGCATTCACCTCTAACAACAGCTTGACTGTAAGCTCCACTTGTTTTGTTAATTAATTCTAAATAGATTAGTTAGTGATAAATGATCCTTGTTTATTGGTCTTTGCATTTGAAAACGGTGAGCTTTTCGGTTCGATTTTTTTTTTTTGCAAAGTATCAATACTTTTTAAGGAAATACTATTTCTTAATCACCGTTATGCATAGAGGCAGATCCTGCGCAACCATCAAATCTTCTCTCTAAATTAATTATTTCATTAATAGTACCATTTTTATACAAGCAGGATAGGCACCAGCAGGTGCCCTGAACTCAAAGTCGATCCACGGCTAATATAACTGAATAAATAATCACCTACTACAGCCAGACTCGAATTCAGAACCCGAAGCACATAAGCCAGTGCCTTAGTCGAATAAAAAAATATCTCAGAATTTATTTATTTGAAGCCTATTAAACATTTTCCTGTTGAAAAAATATTATTAGTCAGAAATAATGGCAAGTCAGTCGGTTAAAATAATCAAGTCAGGTCAAAAATTAATCATGCATAATTTATACGTATTGTATGAAAACTGGTGAATAATTAAATATCACTACTTCTTTTTATACCGTATATTGTTTAGATATTCAGCTTGCGAAGTTCTGCCTCATCGTACAATCTGGGTCACCAGGTAGTTCATATTTGGTCCGCACTGACTTCATACTTCATGATTTTATTATTGATCAGTTAAATCATCCTTATCGTATACATTTTTTTCTACCTCGATGGCATTGTTTTAAAACCTAAAGTTTATTAGATTTGGGGTCCTCAAATAGTTTTGTTGGGCTGCAAAAATTTTCGCTAATAAAAAAACTTTGTAGCACTCTTGTAGAACAATAAATCAGTTATCCTTACAGCAGTGATTTAATAGAATTTTAAATCATTTTGGTACAATATAAATTAACTAAATTTTCCTAAATTTAAGTTATTTTATTTTTAATTCTGTTATTAATAAATATCTTCTTTTTTCATTCCATTCAATCTAAGCTCGACTAGAACGCTTTATTTTTTCCAAATCGAAATTTTTTACATCTGACTGTGATTTAAGACATTCTCTCAATATGTCAAAAAAATTTAGCCCCTTTGAGCAAGTTTTTTCATTTTAAAAAAGTTCTTGATATACATTTACATATGATTCCATAAATGGAGATTGTAAATGTTAGGTTGGCTGATAAGTAGTAGTAAGCAAATAAAATAAGCCGACGTTTCGCCTCATAATTAAAGGCCTCTTCCTCAGTGTTACAAAGAACAAGATACATTGAAGAGGAAACAACAATACTTTAGCTCTACTCAGTTGTACTGTACGTCTTTATTTTATTTGAGTTCATTTTAAACTGTTCTAATCATAAAAATGTTAGCACTCCATTTAACCATTATAACTATGTATGTCTTCTTTCTATCTTTATATACTATCATTTGATATATTTCTGTTATTTTCATCATTACGGTTTCTTATTAAGAGAGCTAGGGTACGTTTACACATTTCACAAACCACGGGGAACATGAATGTTTAAATGGGATATTTCTCTTCGTGATGTGTATTTGTCCTTATGTGAACGATCCATCTGCCGTTTTTTCAAGGGAATTCATTTGAAATTTGGATTAGCTCTAGCGTCGCTTTTACACATTTCTCTACTTTTTTTATTGCTGGAGTAATGTTGTTTGATTTAATGGTTCCTGGTACAATTTATATTTTCTCCAACCATCATCTTCTTTGATGAAACTTATGACTTCTTTCATTCTCCTTTTTTTTTTCTTTTTCTTCCAATTAAAATTACTATAGGTTAGAGCAAAAGTGATTTCCAAAGTACACCATGTTTGTTTCTCCAAATTCACAAATAATGTAAATACTCAGTTTCTTGTGTTTTTTTTTTTTTTTTTTTACTTTAACTTACCTACATTCGAAATATATAGTAAAGGAAAGTAATCATGAAAATTTTCGAATCTCAGGTTTCAACGGAAATAAACATTTCAAAGTTCCATAAGTCCAAATAACCAAGTCGAAACAAAATGTCTGTGTAATAAGTCTGTGTGTGTTTTAACAGTCTAGCTCAAAAAAACGAAAAGTTGTACGAAAGTGAAATTGCATATTTAAAGTTTTTATATGCCTGGGATGTTACAGCAACTTTTTCATAAAAATCGGCTAACCGGAAGTGGCACTTTATATAATCGATTTAATACATTTTTACGATTTTTTTCGAAAACGGCTCTATCGATTTGGATTAAATTCATTATATCAGTGATATAATATATAAAAATCAAGCAGTTTTAATATAATGTTAGTTTTTATTCTCATTGATGTTCTCTAACTGGGTTTAAATAGCTAATTTTCAATATTAGCTTCCTCTGAAGTACCGTAATGGAGGAACCATAACAAATATACGATTTTCTGGAAAATGATCTAACGGTTTTTATTAAATTCATTATATCAGTGTAAAATTAAGCAGTTTTTAATATAATGTGGATTGTTGTTGTTGTTTAAGGCTTAGCAGCATACAACCCTGAGGTCATCAACACCTATTTAATCTTTACTTCAATTACCTCAATGCTAAATTAATTCTTGAAAAAAAATATATATAAATAAATAAATAAAAACACCTCAAATTTATATTTTGTTTAGAAAATCATTAACTTAATTTAACACCGACCTAACTTTAACTTCATCAATATTATGTGAGTTTTATTCTCATTGATGTTCTCTAACAGGGCTTAAATGGCCAATGTTCAATACTAGCTTCCTCTAAAGTGTCTTTGATTTTTTTATTTTCAATAATTAACCATTTCACATTAATTGCTGGTATAAAAAATAGTTAAATATAAAATATGAAAGAATTTGATAATTAACTAAAGGAGAAATTCATTGATTACAGATAATAGTTGTGATGGAGTTATTAAAGGAATACAAGTGCCCTCGAGCTTGCCTGAAAGATTTTAACAGGCTTCCATACGTAACATGAGCTTAATATAATACGGACTCCGATAATATTATGTACATATACATCTGTGGTTTTCATAAATGTATTATTTAATATTTAATTGTATATATTAGAGCGATATAAAAATTAATATTTGTATGTTATAAGGGAAATTTAAAATAATAAGGGAAATTGAAAATACCCACAAGGAAAAATAAATTTTTACTTTCACTTCCCCTTGTCTGAAATTTTTTTTATTTTCTGTTAAGAAGAGTATGTTAAGTGAAAGTTGTGTAATACGCGCACCAGACTTTTTCTCGTGTTTCTGATGTTTTTGGAATGTGTAAACCTGGCTTTATAAACTGTTTAGTTTTATATATAGATATACCTTTATTTATGCTGTTATGTATTATTGCCCCACAGGAGGCGAAAAGCGAAGGGGACGTGAAGAGCCGACTGCTGAGCCTGAGTCAGAGCTGCGGGGTGGCCGAGCGGATCTGCCTCCAGCAGGGGCTGGCTCTCCTCAGGCACTACGAGGCCAGGATCGAGGCTCTCGAGTCCACCATCGCCGCCATGTGCACCGAGGCCACCTTGGTAACTATATTACCTTTCATTTATCAATAAGATTAATTTTTTAAAATAAGAAATATCCCATTTCATATCAGGCAACAGGGTACTTGCTTGAAGTTTCAATTTTTATTAGCGAATCGGAGAAAATTACGTTATAACAATAAAACCGCAAGATGTCCTGAAATTTTCTGATACATATTATCAAAGTCATTAGTATTAAAGAAAAGTGGTGGGGTCGGAGCTACGTCACGAGACTGGCATCTCGAGTGATAACATAATGCCAACTCCTCTAGCTTCATACCGTTGGGCAGTATCGTATCCAAGAACTTAATTTTTTTAATAACCGTAAATTTCCTGGAAGAAACATAAAAAACGTATATGAAATAATGTTTAAGTGGTCCTTGAATAGCAAAAAGCAAAACCGTGACAGGAACAACAACGATTTTAGAGATTTTTTTTCCAATTTTTCTTAGGAACGAAATAATGCATTATAATTTAAAAAGAGAATAATTATGAAGGATAATGTACGTTTAAAAATTTCACAAACTATGAGAGATTCGAATGTCTAAATTGGTGGTTTCGATAGCCTAGGGTATTTGATTCTTATTAGTGTCATTTCCAACTTCTGTCGATCTTTCAAGAGTGTGTTTGAGTAAGATCAATAGTTTATTTTATATATATATTTTTTTTTTTTTGCTTGAAAATTCATTCAATTTAAAAATTGAACTCTACGGCCTCCCTGAGATGCCTCAGACCACCGTAGCTACGTCACCAAGTCGGTGGTGGTTGCCCAGATCTGATATCCTCCAGTACAGGAAGGAAGAGCTCTATGTTTTGGACTCTCGTTCTACAACTATGGAGGGCTTTCTCCGATTTTAAATTTCTCGTAATGATGTCCTCTCATCCTATCATGACCCCTTCTGAGTCTATTGACTTCTTCATTTTCTTTTATCATTTGTTTTCTTTTCAAAATTATAATAGGTTAGGGCAAAAGCGATTCCCAATGCCTGGCATATTTTTTTCTCTAGAAATACGGAATTGTCTAAACACTCTGTTTCTTGTGTTTTTTGTTTTCGTCTGTTTGCATTTCCGAAATGTATAAACGTGGCTCTAAACCTTTTAGCTTTAAATGACGTATAGTATTTCCAGCTTCAAAACCTCGATACTAGAAATATGTTTTCGCTTTTTATCTCACACAATTGTCCCTTAACAGAATTATTCAGTTTAGAATGTATTTTATTAGTTTCTATAAAGGTAAAAGTACTTAAAGATGTTTGATTGTATCGTGCCTGTTAGTGGTATATGTCACGCCACGGTGAAGTGAGGCCACACCCTCTGGTCCTCTGCATACCTTCCAGATACAATGTTATTGCAAGTGTTTAGCTAAATATAAAACTGTTTTTAGTATTTGAATAATGAAATTTCAATAATTCATACGTTCTTTATCACTTGAATACTATTAGGGCTCAAATTTACGTGATTTTGTTTCCTTGCAAGTACTCGATTATAAGCTCACATATACTCCATTCACTCAACAACGACCTTGCGCTGATATCTATTCTTTTATTGACGTCACTCATATACTTTCTTCCCTTAATGATCACACAATAGGCTCTATTGTTCTGAAAGATCGCTTGTCAAACTTAGATAACTGGTTTCATTAATGGAAGTTTAAAATAAGTAAAGCGAAATCGAGTCGTTTAGTATAGCCGTGAGACAAGGGCTTTTGATGTTAAAGTCGCAGCCTCGATTTAAATAAATATTAAAAGTTTCCATTTAAAAAAAAACTTCGCTGTGTACTGTGAACAAGTGAGGTAGAACAAGCTAATGCGATTTCGTAAACCAGGACTACAGCGAAGCCACTCATTCACACTTTATATTATCTATTTTACATATTTTTCTCGATATGTGTGTAAAATGAAGAGTTTTTAATTTAATGTTGGCCTTATCCCCTTTAATGTTCTCTAACAGGGCTTAAATGCCTAATTTTCAAAATTTCTTTCTATAAAGTATCTTTATTGTTTTCTATTTTAAAAAATTAACCATTTCACATACTAACCTGATAAAAAAATGTTTTCAGTATAAAATATGAAAGAAACTGATAATAAACTAAAGGAATAATAACAGATTGTAATTGAGAACTGTAGAAACCCTAGCTTGATCGAAAGGTGGGAACAAGCATCCATACACACAACGTGCTTAATAATATACGGATTCCGATAATATTATTATTACATATAAATATGCGGTTTTCATAAATGCTAGCGTTTATGTTATTTAATATTTAATTGTATATATTACAACAATGTAAAAATTAAAATTTGTTCATGTAACAATGCTTAAAAATAAAAATACCTACAATGAAATATAAATAAATACAGCAGCCTACTTTATTAGTGGCACTCTTGTCGGACTAAAACTATTTCGTGGTATTTGATTTTTTACTATAATCAAATAAATAGTCGAAAAAGTAATTGGTAAGTGACAAAAATAGCATGAATATAATACACTAGATGGCTGTGAAAAAAAGTATGGTAATTAATTGTTTTAAATAATATTTTATACCGTCTGTAATTTTTAATTTCACTTCGCTTTGAAAACACATATTCCTGCTTTAAAAAACAGTGGTAAGTGGAATTTGTGTGATGCGCTCACCGCACAGATTTGTTTCATTGCCACAGTATTCATTTAGCGCTTTTATCTAATAATACCACAGTAATCGTTTTAAGTGGTGATTCTTCAAGAATAAAGATTATCCTTCTCATTCTTCATTATTCTATGACATCCAACTATGTCAGGGTGTAAATCAATCTATGAAATACGTAAAGATGATTTGTTGTTATTAGATTCAAAATTGAAATTTTGAATTTGAACTAATTGGAGTTATCACCTCGGTTAACAATCGCTTTTGATTCACTTATCAATAATATAATTTTATTATTTAACGTTATTATTAAGCACGTTATTATTATTTTATTATATATATATATATATATATATATATATATATATATATATATATATATATATATATATATATATATATACAGCAATTATAATTGTTATATTCATATTACTTTCTTACAGTCTAGAAACCTGCAATCCGAAGAAATACGAGGATCGAGCAGAATCATCGCCACCGTTCTTCCATTCACAGAGAGAAAAGACTGCCTCCAAGAAAGCGGTATATTCGAGGAGTCGGAATGGGCCAGCAGAGGGACCCAGACAGAACCGAGGGCTGAACACGGGGACCTGACCACAGAGCTGGAGAAGCTGTCTAGGATAAGAGAGAAGATCGAGACTGGAACACTGCAGCCAGAGGTGCCGCCGCTGAAGCAGCTGGCCTATTACCGCGAAAGGGCGGAGACTTTGGAGTCCAGACTGGCCGTCTACGAAGCGAGGCCGGACGAGATGACGCGACTCCTGAGGACGAGGGTAGAGAAGGAGGCGAGGCTGGAGGCGGAGGTTCGGCACCTGCGAGACAGGATAGCCAAGCTGGAGCTGGAGAACAGAGCTCTTGAGGAGGAGCGCTGCGAGCTAGAGGAGGCCGAGAACGACACGAGGCTGAGGTGTCAGAAGTAAGTTTAACTCGATCTGAAAAAATATCTCATAGGTTTTTAATATTTTCAAGTCCGGCAATAAGTACTTCTTCAAAGTATATCCTCTAACTGAGTTTTTGAGGGACACCAGACCTTCATGATACATGCATATCGTTATGTTCCTCGTCGTTCTATTAATAGAGAATGACCAAATATAGTCAGTCTGTGTCCATCGTTTAGTGAAAACGCTATCCAAACTCTATAACTTATTTTATTATTTTCAGGTAATAGAGGATAATGTGAATTATTGGATATTATAATTTTAGGACAATGTGGGTTTTTAAGGCCTATAGATCGTTTAAAATTGGGTTTTGTTTAAACGTTTTATGTAATTTAATTCAAGAAAAGAAATAAACATCCTCGTGCCAAAATTGGAACTAGGATTTTTGATTTTGACTCAATTTTGTTTGTAATTTCACCCCCTTTAACGAAAATCTAGGAAAGACTAATGCATGAAGAATCAGAATTTACTTTTTTAATTTTTAAATGTCATTATTTAAAATATAACAACGAAAAAATCAATTCTGATAAAACCATTATTCCTACATACCTATTTTTTTTTTTATTTAAATGTTAAATATAGAAGAAAAAATAATGTACTCTATATGCTATCAATGGCACAAGACCATGATTTTACTCAAAATTAGATAATAAAATTAAATAACATTAAAACTAGAAAACTCTATTAGGAACCACTACTGTTCATCTGTTCCAGAGGATCTACTAAATTTCAATGGAATTGCAAGTTTGACCTGAATATGTTCCGCTAACTCAAATATTTATTCGAATTCTTACGCGGAATTGCTGCCATTTTGAATTCTTATAGGATTACAATTATGATTGATCATTGGTAAAGGATGTTATTTTGATCCAAGGCACATGAAGGTGTGTTTTTTCCGGCCCACCATTCTATATATTTGTGTGTGTGTGTGTGTGTGTGTGTGTGTGTGTGTGTGTTCATCTGTATGTTAGAGACTCGTGGCTTTACAGTTTGGATTGTTTGGATTCTAGGTTATGTTTAAAACTAAAATATGGCATAACAAATTATTCACTAATCATCAAGTGATTCAGGAAGAATCGGGTTTAAAATCCTAAATGTAATTGTCAACTTGTCAAAAACTGCTACTTTCCGAGCCACTAGCGGATCCAGGATTTAATTTTGGTTGGGCTTCAGCCCGAAAGCTGTTTTTTTCATAAAAATAACGATAATTACTTTGGAAAAAAAGAAAGAAACTAACTACCTATATGAAATGGTGTTTAAGTGATTCCTAAAGCCCTTTTAAATGTAATTACACAAACAATAATACTTTAAGAGATACTTTTTTAATATTTTTTTGGATAAAACATGGCTATATTTTACCATTTTGGAGGGGGCTTCAGCCCGAAAGCCACCCACCCCCTTAGATCCGCCCGTGTTCCGAGCTAATTTTTACTTATATTTATTTTTGTTATATTTTACTTTAAAAGAATCATAGTTGGACAACCACACTTCTGCTTGCATGCAATATACTGATTAAATTTACGTCTAAGGTTAAGATTTCTTCTGTTCTTGAGTCTGTCATTCTTTTGTGGAAGGCCAAGGGATTGTACTGTATTTGTTAGTGGAATTTGAATATTGTCGAGGTAAATCAAAAATTATGTTTCATGTCGAAGATTCGGAGGTTCGGATTTGTCTTGGATAGGTCGATTCTTTCATACTTTTCACCACTCGTGAAGGTTTGTTTGGTGTGTGCAGGTTTTTGATGTTTAGTTAAAATTGTATTTAAAGGTCTAATCCTGCCATGATGAATAATTAGAAAGAAGAAAGATGAAAATGAAACATTTTGTTCCTCCTCAGCACAGACGGATCTACGGAGGGGGCCTTTCGGGCTGAAGCTCCCCCCCCTCCTCCCAAAATTGTAAAATATAACCATATTTCACACAAAAAAGTATTAAAACCATCTCTTAAAGTATTCTTGTTCGTTTAATTACATTTAATAGGACTTCAGGAACCACTTAAACACCATTTCATTTAGATAGTTAACTTTTTTTTTTCAAATAATTTTTATGAACATTTATGAAAACAAAATCTTTCGGGCTGAAGCCCCCTCCCCCAAAATTTAATCCTGGATCCGCTAGTCCTCCTCAGGGAAAAAAGTTATTGTTTTTCGAAAAATATCTTTTTGAAATCAACAAAAAAAAAACTACGAAAATCAAGTTCTTCACCAACATGAAAAAACAAAGCAAATTTGGAAAGTTGCTTAATATCGGTTATGATTTACCAGAGTTTTCACCATAAAATAAACTGAACCCTGACAACTTCTTATCTTCGCCAATGAAGAGTATTTGTCAAAGCTTCTTGTTACTCTGGGCTGGAGAAGACCCAAGACCCAAAGGAGCTATTCTCTAAGTATCAGAGGTTTCATCAAAAATGGTTTTTGCAATTTTGGAAGTCGAAAGATTTAATAGTTGATTAATAGAAATCCAGGCAACGGTCAAGGGCGTTGCTAAAAGAGGAGCCATTCAATTTACGAGAGCAAAATTAGTCGTTATTTTTTAATTACTTTCTTTAAGAACGTTTAGATTCGATTCGGAACCAAATCAATCCTGGTTCCTAGCGGTCTTGACCTCTCAGAACTATTTCACTTCAAATTTACACAAATGTTCTAGAAACTGCGCATGAAACTTCGGCTTATCATTGTAACGCAGAGGTGCCCATCCTCCCCCCCCCCCCCTCCCTCCCAAGGACGATGGCGCATAAATCTCCCTTCTTCCCGCAAGATATTTTATTGCTCTCATCTTCCTAAAAGTTCATGCTAAAGTAGAATTTTAAAAATAATAGGTCATGTAAAATGATAATTTCAGAGGTCCGTTCTTTGTTTTCCTCTTGTTCACTGGTTTAATAATTTTCATTTCGAAAATTCAAAACCCATTCGAAATGTGCCTCCACAAAAATTTTTAAAAAACTCAAAATATGCCCCCTCAAAAATTTGGATGGCGTAACGCTCCATGAATCCCCCTTTTGTGCACTCCTATTGTAACTCCTCTAAGCAGCTAACCAGAAAGAAACGGAAATAACATGTTCTTTCTGAGTTTCATTCTGCAACAAGTTGAGTTTATTACGTTAGAAACAGGTTCAGTTGAATCAAAAAATGTCTGTCTCTTTCTGGAATTATTTAACTGCTAAACATTGGGCAGAGGAAATAGAGATTCATGAGGAAAAAAAATTAACGATCGATGTCCAGTAAAATCATTGGAAATCGATATCAGTTTCCATGTGATTGAGGTTACAATTCCTAAACTAAGGCTATGTTTATTAATAGTTCTCGAGTGAGGACTTCAAAATTGCTTGTTTCTTGTTTTTTTATAACTTAAAAAAAATCAAGAAAGAAGACAAAACTAGGCAGCCATGAAAGGTGAGGATGCATGTTCTATACCTGATAGGTCTTCCCCCTCCCCTACTTAAATTTGTTTTCTATGATTCTTTTATCAATTACATTTTTGTGAAAATTTCTATCTATTTTTATTATTTATCTGTTACCAAGGATAATCAGCACGATTTTCGATTTTCATTAATAGTATTATTATACTAATTTATTAAATAAGTATTGTTTAAACTTATTTATGAGACTGCTAGTTGTTATTTCCTCCACATCATTTACTCTGTAAGTTAAGGATGTTTTCGTATCATAATTACTGATTAATTGTTTGACAGTTCGTTTGAATTAATTGAATCATATTAGTAATTAGTAAGATTGGGAGTGTGCCAATCTAGTTGGATTATTAAGGCCTCAAATAGCTCAGAGGGTGTTAAACAGTATTTTCATAATTCATGACCTGGTAGTGTTGATTTTTAATAATGCCTTATTTAGACATAATAATCTTGAACTCAATCTCATCATTGCATGTAATTGCTATAAATACTAATTATATTTTTAATTCAAATTGAAATTTATTTTTGGTGGTTTCTATTTGATTTATGACACTCTTTATGCCTGGCAGGGATCCCCTAACGTTTATAGTGCAACTCTTATTGAGATGTGAACATATTGACTCAACTATATCTTTCCCTTCTTCCCTCTTCCCCTATATACTGATCCCTTCACAATACTATCTATTTAGCTTAAGTGCTTGTTTTTAAGAATATTTTTTATACTCTTGTAAATTTTGAAATAACTAATTAATGAAAAAAATTAATAACCATTATTTATGCTATCAAATGTATGTACTGGGATCTACGGGGGAAGGGCTATCGGGCTGAAGACCCCCCAAAATGGTGAAATATAATCGTGTTTTTCCAGAAAAAATTTTTAAAAACTATCTCTTAAAGTATTCTTGTTCGTGTAATTATATTTAATAGGACTTCAAGAACCACTTAAACATCATTTCATATAGGTAGTTAATTTCCTTCTTTTTTTTCAAATTAATTATTGTTATATGTGTATGAAAAAAAAATCTTTCGGGCTGGAGCCCTCCTCAAAATTAAATCCTGGATCCGATAGTGCTGGGATAATAATTTTATTATCTATTACAAACATAGATTAAAATACCATTTCATTCCAGAAAGATAATTAAATATTGATTATTTATTCTGATTAACAAATTTAATAAATAAAATACACAAAATATAAAATTTAGTAAATAAATACACTATAATAAATTCTAAACTAGTGAAAAATTTAAAACCTACAGACTAACCCTATGCTGATTCCAAAACTTCAGCATGCCGCATTCCTATCATTGCCACATTCCTAGCAACCATCTTGCTTTAGTTTGGTCACCTTGACCTATAATAATAACTCCAAAGAAGAACAAATAATTGACAAATTAATAAATAGATTTTTACATTTTAAACGGAATATTATTTGATTTTTTTTTTAAACTTGTGCAGCAAAACCTATTTTAAACAGAAAACTTTCATCTCTTTAAAAGTTGAAGTGTTGAATGAAAGATGTTTCATTACAATAATTTAAATCTGAGAAAAATGTAATGGTATTTTATTTCTATTTTGGACCAGAACTCAATTTTTAGTTCTTGAAAAATACCATAATATATGGTTCAGAAAAATTAAACAAGGTGGTATATAGAAAAGAATATTTAAAATATATTTCCAAGAAAAATCCCTGTTTTTTCTAAAATGCTTTACCAATAGCATAAACTGTTTTTAACCCCTATTTAATGGCAATAACGATTATTTTTAAGGGGTTCTACAATTATTTTATGGTATTTTCCCTGTTTATTAGCTTTATTTTGACCATGATCACTTTAAAGGATTGGAAGCAAAATCATTGTGAAAGTTATAAGAATATTTTCCTTATAAGCCTGGGTTTAGGAAAATTAATTTTATGCATCAAATCATAAATGAATTTCATCCTGCTTGTAACATCCTTCATAGAGCTTTACCAGGTATTGGCAGCTCTGGCTAATTCATAGCTTAACATTATTCTTAGAGCCCTATTTTGTTGAATATTCCTTATTCTTTACCTGTCATAAAATTTATTGTGCTTTCCTGTACTTAAATAAAGTAGGATTTAGAAGTATTCCTTATGAAACCGATACTTTACCTATAAGGCTACCTTAATCCTATTGATTGCTATAGTAAAATTATTATTTAGAATTTTACGATTAAGTAATTTTTAAATTTTAATCATTTTATTTAATTTCTTTTTTCAGATTGGAGCTAAAGTTAAGTGCAGTTGGAGAAAAGAAAAATTGTTTAAAAGCTCAATTGGAACAACTTACACGTGAAATGGCAGCCAGAGAAGAAGAGCATAAACAGACATCTCAAATGGAATCTCTGGTGAAGAATTATGAAAAGAAGAACCAAGAATTAGAAGAGAGAGAGATGGAAGTAAGGTACAGGTTACAAATGCTTGAAAATACGATGCCTGCTCTGTTAATGTGGAATATGTGGAGAATGATGGTAGCAATGCAGCAAGCTCAAACTGCACCTGTAGCAGGAGTACCTCCTGCACATCCTGGTATATCTCCTGTACATCCTGGAGTTCCTTCGCTTGGTCCAATGAATTCAAAGGAGGAAGAACTAATTTCAAAGCTACAATCTCTAGAAGCAAGGCTTAATTCTGAAAACAGGATGCTTCAAGATTCTCGAAATGCAGAGGAAGCTTTGCGAAACAAAGTGCATGACCTTGAAATGATTTTGGATTCCAAAGACACGAATATAATACAAATTCTAGACCGTGATCCTGGCCAGGATATAGAGGCTTTTGAGAAAATGACTAAAATGGCTAAGGAGCGTATAGAGATGAAACGGAGAATAAAAGATTTGGAATTGAAAGAACATATGTATCAAGAAACTTTGCAAGAATTTGATGGAATGTTTTCAGACTTGGAAGGAAATTATTCTAAACAATTGAAGGAGAAAGATGACGCTCTATCTGATAAAGATGCAAAACTTGCCGAAACTGAATATAAGTTAAATCAATCTAAAAAGATATCCGCTGAAAATGCTCAGTTACACGAAAGATTGCTTCAATTAGAGCAGGAAATGAAGATATTGACCGAAGCTCTCAAGAAAAGGGAAATCGAAAGGGATGCATTGGAAAGAGAAGAGAGAAAATTAAATCAAGAACTTCAGGATTGTCTAGCTGAATTAGAAAATCTTAAAAAACAAGTTGAAGGGCCTATGTTAGGGCAGTTAGAAATCCAGAAGAAGAAAGGTTTGCAGCTAGAACAAGAATTAGAAAGATTGCAGGACGAGAAGTTTGAGATGGAAGCCGACAGGAAAGCTGAGGTACATCCAAAGCCAGAATCAAGTAGTGATGTTGGCATTAATAAATCAGCTGCTAGTAGAGCAGCCTCTCAACCTGTCACATCGGTAGGAAGTAGTCCTCAGCAACCTGAGGCTACCCCTGCACAATCAGCAACTCAACGCGAGTCAGGAAGCTTAGCTAGTACTGCAGTTGCTATCGGTGTTGTTCATGTAATCGTTTATTTATTTATGGCATTTCTCAGTTACCAAAGATAGCAGAAAAAATTTGTCCTATTTGAGATTCATAAATAAATCAATGATTGTTTTGCCTTCTTTCATTTTGTCTTTTAATTATTAATGTAGATTACTGAATTTATCTGACTCACGTTGTGTTGCATCATTTGTTAAAATTGTTATCATTTTCTGAGAATGAGTTTCCTTTGTAAGTTAGAGATTTGCATTTTGAATTAAAAAAAAAAAAAAAACTTAATTTATGTTATAGGTGAGTACTCTAAAAAACAGAATTAACCAGTTAACTCGAGACATAATGGAAAGTGATGTCACTATTGGGGAATTAAGAGAGGAGGTTCAGACTCTTGAGGTGTGATATACATATATTATTACTTTTCATTGGGAATGCTTTTTATAGTAACAAAAAAAAAATGCTTTAATTGAAGTTGTTAATGTTTTACAATTTCTAATTTCTGATATATATTTTTTTTTTAGATTTGGTGGAGGCTTTTTTCATTAACAAACGAGCATGAAAAAATTCAGAAATAATTTTTATAACATTCTTTTCCATCTATTTTATAGCTTACTCTTTGCTTTTACTAACTTGCATTGAATGTATGTGTAGAATACCCCTGTTTATCTTTAAAGCATGTCTTTATATGAGTTGATCCTCTCTTTTCACCTGTTATGTAAGTCATTTCTGTTGACATTAGTGATAACTTTATCCATGCACTTGAAGAAACGGTGTCCGCAAGTATCTAGCATGATTTGTATTTGTTTAGAATTTAGTTGTCCATTAATAAGAATAATATTTATAATTTTTTTTTCTGTGATAAAAATAACACATATAATATATTTCGTAATTATTAATAATTACTATTTAGTAGTGTAAAGTGATTTTAAAATTATTGTTGAAAATTAGTGTGTATGACTCTAATGCCGTAAGTCTGTACGTATTTAATTTAAATATTTTTTTTAACTATATAAGCAGTATTACTATAACATATGATTGAACTTAATTTTGAATAAGGTCTTTAACTAACCAATCGTATCTTTTCTAATTTATAATGTCGTTGTTCATTTTCATTGTGATCAAATTTATCATCTTATCAAACAGAAAAAAAAAAAAATTTCTCTCATAGTTTTATTAATCTTCCTGTTTTCACACTCATGATCCCATCATAATTAAGAGTTTGATGTGGTTGGGTAAAAATCCATAAAAAGCCAACCTCCAACAATTATTCTGAATTGCTATAATACAGTAATTATTAAGAAATAAGAATAAAATAAAACAATTGTTTCATAAATAATTTTAATGGCTACTCAATCCAAAAAATTTAAGGAATCAAACTACATTTTTATCTTGATTTTATTCTTCTTTGTAAATGAAAAATAAAAATAAAAAATTAATAAAAGAAATGTTAAGTTTTCATTAATAAGACTTAATTATTAATATATTTCATGAAAATTTCTTTTGTAGAACTTTTGTTTGTTGTTGACATTTACCAAAATTAAAGTCTTAAAGTATAATTTATTGGCAAAGTGAGACAGTAATATAAAAAATGAATTAAAATTGTTCATACTTTAAAGGATAAATACTTAGTGTTTACACAGTATAAAATAAAAATTAATCTGAATATATATTTTGAACAAACCTTTATCAGCTTAAAATTCAGCATCAAAAATGCTTCAGATCCTTGTTCATGATTTAGAATAATTTTCAAATTTTTAATTTACGTTTGTATATTTATATTTCTGTTTTATTCATAGATGGCTATTGATGACCTGAGGTATGTGGTCAGTTTAGAGAAAGCTAATAAAGAAGAACTGAGGAAAGAGTATGAAGCCAAATTGGAAGAGAAAGACAGACTGTTGGAAGAATTAAGCAACTCTATGAATCAAGAGAGTGAAGGTAAAAGCCTGAGAGAAGAGTTGGATGAGATGATGCTAGATTCAGGAGATTCACTTTCTGCTGATGACTTCCAAAAAATAGAAGAAATAGACATTGAGATCAGTGTGGCAAAAAAAAAAGTTAGTTGTAACCGAGTTAGTTGTAATATTGTGAGTAACCGAGAAGATGACGAATTTTCTACCCCGATCGCATCTGATTCGGAAGATTATACTACTTCAAGGTAAGTCATAAGTATATAATGATGGTAATAATTATAGCTTATTACACTGCCAATAATTGCATGCATACCCCTCACTCCCTCCCTCCTGAAGAACTCAGTTACTGCCCAAATCTACAATATCAAAACTCCCATCTTCATCCTATCCAAAAGTAATCGCCTTTTAACATGTATGTCCATTTTCATTAATTCTCAATTTTTTACTAAAATGAGGTAGGTAGCTAATTAAGGTAGTTTCTTCACGCCTTATCAAATACTAACCATGCATATTTTAAATTTATTTTTCCATGATGTTTTGAGATTTAGCAATACAATTAGATATATTGATTTAACATCTTATAAAGTTATGAGAATGGTGTTAGGCAGTGCTAGAATTTATTTGATGATATCTCTGGTGTAGTTCACAAAAAATGTATATTTTCAAGTATCTTTGTAGATGTTAATAGCTATTAAAAAAGAAGACAGATAGAAATTTATTTAATGTAAATCATTATTAAAATTAATTACTATTCCAGTAAGCTTGTACATAAATTTATTATCTCATCTGTTTGTGTTTTTTCCCCTAATATTTTATTAATAAGTTTCATGCTTATATTTTAGCAAGGTGCCTGAAATCGGTGAAAGTGATGTTGGGTCTATCAATTCCAAAATGAAGAATTTTTATGAAACAAGCCATGATTTAGAAAAATTGCAACTAAAGACTAAAACTGCCCTAGGAATTCAGGAGCTGATTGCAGAAATTGACAACGGTGAGTCCCTGCTTGACATCGAAGCAAGTAGGGCAGCTCTTGCCGGCCTACCGCTGCATACTACATCATTGCCTCGGGTAAGGTTTTTAGTAATATAGTTCTTTTCCATGCTTTAGAATAATAAAATTAATAAAAATAAAAATTAAATATTTTTTTATAATTAGTAAATGTGTAGAAGTATAATTTAAAATGGTTTTGAATAATATTTCACTAAAATGTTGCGTATCGATTTCTTTTATTGATTTTTTTATATCATTCACCAATTTATCTTTGCTTTATCAGAAAAATCTGTTTAGTAAGATTTAAAGTTCTTCAAAAAACATGCTTCTGATATTTTTTAAGATTAAACATGAATCATCATCTTTTTCAATGAGAAATAGCATAAATACTGCTCACTGATTTTTTGTTGCTGGTCAAGAATGTTTTTTGTTGAAGCTCAGTGAATAAAAATTTATCATATGATGGATATAAGTTAATTTCCCTTGTGAGCTATGTATATCTCAGTTAATTAGAAACATGAGTGTTAATTATAAACCACTTTATGAATTTACAGGATTTCCTTGTGGGTCAAAGTTGTTCAAATATTTTATGTGCTCCCTGAAATATTAATTATTTTTACTTACTCATTTATTCAAGAAGTTTATAGAAATAATAATCTCTTATATTTTAAAAATATAACATATAAAATATGAAAAAAATTTTAAATTTTAATATTGAAATAAAAGTCAACAAATCGTTATTGCAAATTTTGATAAATCTAACCAAAATTCAAACAAATTATAAGATGACAAAGAAAATTATGTACTGAACATTGTTTGTCTGGAAAGGGCTAATAGAATGTTATAAGACGTAAAAACACTCAATGAAATTGCAATTCTATTAATGTGAGAAAATTAAAAATAAATTTTGCACCAAATCGTTTATTGATATTAGTTTCATTTAGTCTCTATATGTGTTAGAAATTTATCAATAGAATTATTGTAAAAACAATTTCTTTCAGTTTTTTATCAAATATAATTATAACCTTTTTTAAAATTTAATATTTTCCATAATACATGTGATTACAAAAAACAGCTGTAGTCACAAACCTTTAAAATGCCAAGTTAGTTTACAAATTTATACTACACTTAAATACATTTTTCTACACCAACACCTACTCTAGCTCCACCAAACATGTCAGAGACACCAGATTTTCCATTCCGTAAATCATCAGAAAACTCTAATATTCAACCAATATTAAAAGCGAGTGATGCAACTAATGCAACAAGGTCATCCAGTGCTGAACCACCAAGACCGCTGTTTGCTGTATGTAGTATAGAATAATTACCTGGTATTTAGTTAGAAATGCACTTAATGTTATAGTGATTGCTTGAAAACATATCGATACCAAGAATCCTGATATCTTAATAATTTCATCGCCAAATCTATGACTACTGGTTGTATTAATCAGCCACAAACTTTTCATTTTAAAGTTTAAAAAAAATACTTCAAGACCAAAAGAAAAAAAAAAAGTTTCCTTTTAAGCTAAAAAAGGTATTCATAAATAAAACCTAAAATACTATGGTACTCTTGAGCAATAGTACTATTCTATTAGGACCATTTTACTTGACCCCGCTCTACTACTGAGCTCTGTCATCAGCCTCTCTCTCACTAACTTATTCATCCAAATTATAAGGCTTCGACATTCAAGAACAAGGAAAAAAAAAAAAAAGCCTTAAGTTACTATATATATATGTGTATACAACTTAGTGCTTTTCTTTTCAGTCTTTCCTTGTTTTTGAATGTTAAAGTCCATGATTTGGATGAATAAGTTTGTGAGAGAAAGGCGGATTTATAGACTGAAATTCTCTTTTCTAGTACCTTGAAATACAACTTGCTAGAGCCACTAAGGTGAGAAATACTCAAATATGATTTCCATACATCTTGTTTTCTCCATTCTTAAATACTGGCACTATTCTCACTTGAGAGCTCAAATAAAAATAGATATTGAGAAAAAAGACACAGATATTGGAAAGAGGGAGCTAGAAAAGGTTTTTGATATCTTGAAATTGAGATAATCTCCTGACTGTAATGATTTAAAGTTCAAGTGAGTGAAAGTTGAAGAAAATGTTACATCTGAACGTTACATAGAAGAAAAAGAAAATAAGTCCTTACTTTATTAATTTGTCAATTTGATAATTTGCTGTCTAGTTATGATCAGTTTTCAGTTTTTCTATGTTTGTATTATTTGTCAATTTATTATTAAAACATGAGTGTTTTACAAAATATTCTATTTTGCTAAAAAGTATGGGACATGTAAAATTGTTTTAGTAAAAAATCTTTTCCTAGGGATATTATGGAATGAAATAAAACTAATTTAAATTATTATATTACAACACACCTAATTACTGCCGGATTTTTACAAAATGCAAAAATTCAAAAAACATATTGCTAAACATCTATTTTATTTTATATTATATTATAAATTATTATTTATAGCTATGATATGATATTAATCCAAAAGTAATATTGTAATTTGTTTTTAGGATTGTCAAGTTGCACAAGAAGCTGTAACAAACTCAACAGGAAGAGACATCAAAGGTACCGTCGACAACCTGACTAAAGCTTTTCAGCATTCGAAGGTTAGAACTTTATTCTGGCTTCTTTGATTTTAGTTTTATTTTGTACTAATTACATTGTTAATTATATTAATTGCAGTTGGTAGGAAGTTAATAGAATGATCGATTGAAACATTTTCCAATTAATCTAGTTATTTTTTCTTAAATTTAATTAAAATATCTCTCAGACAAATTATTCGCGTATTAAGGTTTGGAATAACTATAATGGACAATATTTTGTAATTATAATAATGTCCTTAATGAAATGTAGCAATTCCAACTATATTGGAAGATCAGAGTTGGGCGATTCTCAGTGAAAATTGTAATCATGAATACAAATTCAGTATTCAGTTTCATTTATAAATAGTATTTGTAATTGTCATGCATTTTGAGATGAGTGCAGGTACTATTCAGTACTCAGTATTCATGAATACATCACTACTCGTTTAAAGAAATCATGATTACTTTCAATATCTTTACTCATCACAGATGATTACAATTTCAGATACTGTCATAAAAATAAAATGAAAATGTTATAGTGGAATTAAACTAGTTATATATTATATCAAAATTAGATAAGAGGTTTGAATACCCATTATTTTTTACAAGTTTGAACAATAAATCCTCACTATCAGTTTCAGATATGAGCAGCTTACCCCTTTTCTTTATCTCTGATATAATCTTAAAATAGCATATTATAATTTTTTTTGTCTCCACTAGTACGGAAAATTAGAGGAATGGGGATGGCATTTAATTTATGGTCACATTATAGATATTGAGGATTATTATTATTTTCAATTTTTTTTTATTATGGTCATAAACCTACAACACAATATTAATGGATCTTAATATAGAATAAATTCAAAAACATTGACTGTATTTTCCAAAAGCTACTTCTCTGATAAGATATTAATAGACCTTAATGATAAGAAAACTGCTTTATAAATTGTTTTGGAAGCCTGTTATCTCAAAATTTGTTGTTTTCTTATGTGGAACCTCAAAATATATTTTATTTTAAATAAATTTATACCTCAGATTGAATAATATTGGACCTCAATGACAAAGAAAATCTAAATACTTTAATTTTCTCGTTTACTCTGTAAAACACTAAACGTATAATGAATCTAAGTAAATCAGAATTATAGGAAGTTCACACTTGGAAAAATGAAAATTTTTTGTATACGTAAAACATCAACTGTTGAAGCTGTAATTGTCTCTCTAGTTTTAGTTTCTTAAATTTTACTCAATTTAATTATATCTGACTATAGGAAAATGAAAGCCATTTGAGAAAGTGTTCAGCATTGTTTAATCAAATACTTCTATCGTTTGATCAAATACAACAATAGTAATCAGTATACTACTGGTAATCGGTATTTGTTAACATGTTTTTGTACTCGGTAGAATTTTAATCGGTACTCATGAATAATTTTGTCAAGTTTTATTCTATCTGTAATTGTCAGTACGATTTGCCTAACTCTGTTGAATATTAATTAAATTTAATCTTTAATAAATAAAAAAAAAATTGTTAATAACCTTAATCCTTTTGAAAACAAGTGGAAATATTTCCTTAATTAATACTATTCCTTATAATCTTAATTAATACTATTCCATATTAATATTAATAATTTATCTTTCTATTTTGGTCAGTAGAAATAGTTCAAAATTTAATATGCAGTGAAATAGGTGTTTTAGAATTTTATATAATATATTTTTTCTATAGTACTTAGTGTATTATTGAAAATGGATAGTTAGTTATAAACAGTTGCCAATTCAATAAATTTCATTTCCTTGCTTGTTTCCTGCAGCTTCTCTGTGCGGATCACCTTTGTTTCTTATAAATCTTAAAATAACAAAAATTCGTATGAGACATTTTTTATATCAAATTAGTTGTTATACTTAAATTAATTTTCTAGTTCTTTAAATTTGTTTAATCTTTAGTTATCAATTAAAGCCTAATGATGTGAATTAAAATAATTCTTGTCAATTATATACTCATTCAAGTACCTTCTTGCAGTCTTGTACCCACTGTGCCGATCACATTCTCTCTTCTCTCGAGAAGTTTGTGTCTGACGTACATGAATTAAAAAGAACACTAAAAAGTGATAGAAGAAGCATATCTCCCAGTTTTGTTTGTCCGTAAAATGAGTTTAAAATGTATTCTTGTTCTGTAATAAAGTGAATTGTGTTTGGTGTCTGTATTATATGTTTTATTTTTATTTTTTTCAATTTAGCGATAGATGGGTGAACAGAAGCAGAATGCATTTTAAACATAATATTTCAAATGTTTAAAATCTGAATTGTTTTCTGTTCACCTCATTAGACTAAAATTAGTATACATTTAAATTATATGGTCATGGTGAATAGAAATACATATTCAGGATGTCATATATAAATTATTATATATATTTCTCATGGCCATGTATATAATTTAACCAAAAAATGCAAACGCAAATGGAAAAAGAAATAGATCTACTACTGTTTCACCAACTGTTATTGCTTTTTAATATAGACATGAAATGTATGGATTTTGCACCATGAAAGTTGAAGAATTTTTGTCACTTTTGAATCTTAAGGTTGAAAAATTATTTTTCTGGGTAATGAGTTAGAGGTTTTGTAAGATATGTAAAACATTGTTTTACCAAAGGGGAAGGCTGAGAGTAGGTGGCAGGAATTTCTATCGGCTAATATGTATGGGGAAGAAGATGAGAATGGCTGCAGACAAGACTCAGTCAGTCATCATGAAGGGCATGACTGATAGGACCCAGGTTCTCTTCAACATGTATTAAAAGAAGCAAAGTATATGATTCAAATGAGGTGGTAATTTACCTTGATTTAAAGTTAAAGGATGGTTAAGATGTAACACCTCGCTTAGATTATTGACAATTAGGATTCCACAAGCCATGAATGGACTCTGTCATGTCTAAGTGCATTCTGGGAGCTCGGATACCCAGCAACAGATTATAAAAGAGTCCACTGTGCTTCCCTCCTAGAATTGAAATCTCACACAGCGCAAGTACAATACAAGAGTATAAATGTCAACAAAGAAAATGGTTCTATAATGAGTCTCCAGAGCAGTTAGGTTGTCACATAAAACAGTGTAGGTTCCTGTATATTCCAATAATTCACATAAAAAATAATTGTAAGAAAAAAATTTGTCCAATTTCGCTCCTGTCACTAATTCAAATATAAAATTAATTAAATTAAAAAAGGTAAAGCATTTGTCACATACCATAAGTTGTTTAATATGATATTACCTTCTTTCATTAGATAATAAATTTTTAAGGCTAAAATTTTATGATCCTTCTAAATATTTTATGCATAATATTTATACACCGGAGTCCATTAAGATATAATTATAATTGGCATGTTAGAGTTTCACAGTTTGTTCTTCTCTAACTTCCCAAGAAGAAGTTTGTGCATTAAACAAAATTTTTATTTTTCCTGAAAAAAAAGGTGATATGAGCCAAACCAAATGTATTTTTAAATATAATTTCATACTATTTTTTTTTTATATTTTTAAAGAATTTTCTTCATTATAGCACTGAGTTGCAAACAATTAATTAAAAATAATTGCATATTTGAGCTACTTTAAAAGTTCTATATTTTTTATCATATTTTATCTTTTTTTTTGAGTCCATGAAAAAATAATTTCCAATCATAACTGTGTCTAATGAAAAAAAAAAAAAAAAAAAAAAAAAACAGTCAGTTCTGAGCTTGTTGGATCAAGATAGACTTCATTATATACGCAAATCGATAATATTTTTTAATATATGTAAAGTAATAAACACCTAAAGTATATTACAAAAATGTATCAAGTTTTTGTGTTTATGTTTTATAAAACTAATTATTTTTTATTTATTTTTTTTTAGACATGTAAAAAATGCAATGAGACATTGGGTTCATTTCTTGGCGACTTGATCAAGGAGCTAGGGGTCCGGTTACCCAGCATCCAGGTACTAAAATATTATCTGTTCTGTTGTGCCATATATTTTAGTGGAATATTATTTTACTGTATTATTTTGAGTTAAATATCTGCAGGCTAATTTTATTTATTTTAAGTGGGAACGCTAGCAGAAAGAAATGTAATAAAAATTATTGTGACATATTATACTGTGATATTAGGAAAATTTGAATATGGGGATACAGCCCCAAAACATCAACTAATAAATATATTATATGAACAATCTTATTTGGCTACTTTTCAAACATAGTATACTATCTCTCGTTTGTGATTTAATTCAGTGTATTATTATTCTCTCATTCCTCAGAATTATAATGCATTCCAATTCGTTTGATAACACATTTGAATTTATATAATTCTTAGAATAAAGTATAAACTCCTTTCAATTCTTGAAATGCATAATAAATTGTATGTATAAATTATTATAACCTAAATTAACAAAGTACATTAAGTATTGATTCCAATATTTATTTAAAAGTCTGATTTTTATATACTTGTAACACCATTAAGTTTTAGGAATTAAGTATAATCCTTTTTTGAGTTAGTTGATGCTTATTCCTTTTTTTTTTTTTTTTTAATTTCTAGCCCTGTGATCCCGATCGAGAAAGTGAATGTAAGTCCTTTTCTGATCCTTAATCCTTTATGTCCTTCCTTTGTCTTTATTTTTCTCTTTAATTCACAATCTCTGCAATAGTTTTTATTAGTTCGTCTGATTAAAATTTTAAATTTAAGGGATATTTAACTATTCTTTTTTCATAACTTTAGCAGTTTTATTAGTTTATAGCTTGCATAAGAAAATGTTAGAGTCTGTATCAAATGAAGTTTTGGGAATAGTTTTAATAAAAGAAAAACAAAACCATCTTTTATCCAACTTAATCAAAATATCTCGTTACCTTTGATACATTTTTCTCAAAATGCAGAAAGTTTGTAAATCTTGTTATGAAAATTTGAGTCTTGAAAAAAATCTTTACAAAAACCAATTTTGCTAGGGTCATTGTGAATGTAACTATTGATTTTTTTTAATCTCAGAAAATGGCTCTATATCCAAAAAACATGTGTTATCTCTAGTCAATAATTTTAATTTTTAATTAAATTTATGAGGTCTGTTAAAAAATTTCAAAACAAATATAATTCTATAACTCTCAGTTAAATTTTTTTAATTTGTAATTTTAATAATTCTCATCATACATTATATTACTTAATTGTTAAAAATAATTCTACGAAAAGCCACCAAAAATAATACAGTTCATTATTATTAATTCAATTGTCTAGGTTATTCATAAATTAACAATTATTTTAATCTTGGTTTTTGATCTCCTGAAAATAAATCTTTAAAAAGATTTTTTTTTATAAATGTAGTGTTTTTATAGCCCTCCAATCAATTATTCCTTCTTTAACTGAAAAATTAAAAACCTGCAATTTTGTTTTGTATTTATAATTCTTTTAAATTTTATATTTAATTTGTGCTACCCTCAAAACTTTAATTTTTAGTTGAGCTAATTGAAGTATTGGTATTCATTTTGGAATGTTTATTCTCACTTTTTTTTCAGACGCTGGGCAACCATCAACTGTGAAGTCTACCGTAAGTAATAGAAAAAGAAAGAAAATTGTTTTAAAAGTATTTTCTCAAATTATAATATTCTTAATCTTGTCAAAATTAATCTATAAGCCTCTAAAATTAAAACTCTATTGCTCTTAGTTGCTGCTTGAACCACAATTGCTTGCAATATTTGCCATTTTATTTAATTTTAAATGATGATTACAACAGTACGCTTCACGAAAATAATAGATCCAACACCCAGTGTCTTGTAGCTACATTAGGCCATTTTGCAGATTGTTTGGTTCACTATAACAACAAATTACACACTGTTTTAAGAACTGTATCACAGGCATGTGTTTATTAATCATGACCTAATAATTATGTTAACAATGGTGGTGTATGATGGTCTCTTTCTGGTGAACATGAAGAAAGACTTGAACTGCTTAGTTAAATATGTTTTCAAGGTTGCCAGAAATATGCATATAATCCAGTATTATGTCGAGCTACAGTCGCTCTACCCATTTTACAGTTTTCAGTATTTTATTGTATCCTTCCTATACCAAGTTATCTCAGCAGTACAGTACCTACAATTTAAATCCTCCTTCCAATCCCATCCCACCCAATCTCGTGCTTCTGTCTTCTATCCTACAGAACTGCTATATTCCACAAGTCCTTCCTAATTCGACCTGCCCCTCTCTTGAACTCTTATTACACCCATCATTTGTCATGCTTCAACGATAATTTAGTATTATATTTAACACTGTCTTGGCCACTATTTAATGTTCTTTTAATTTTGTTCTTTGGGAAGGGACTTTGTCCCAGAATACTGAAGAAATTTTTTATTTAATTTTTCCTTATAATGTAATTTATAATACCATATCAAGTATCGTTAATTTGTTGATGAATGCTTATGTCACTCAAATATGTAATTGATTATTGTTGAATATTATTATTGAATGTTGAAACATTAATGTGTGTTTTGCACAATTTTTCTGTATAGGATGTTGGAGCGGGAACTGTGGGATGGGATGCAAAGAAAAACAAGACAGGTTACGTACTAAAGCCAACCGTGTCAACCCTTGCTCTTACCGTGGAAAACCTGCAAGAGAAGTGTCGACTTAAAGATGCCATGATCCAAGCCATGGCCGATGAGTTTAAGCATTTGACAAAATGCGAGAACTGGAGTGGCGCCCACCTGATGAGCACCGTTGCTGATTTTAATGTTCCGACAGCAAAGTTTGATTTTGATAGGAGGACTCTCTGCAACTATCTGAATGCTAATAAGCCCAACGATTTCTGTCCTGATGATGTAAGTATAGTTTTATATTAAGTTTTTTTTAGCGTTAGATAAATGGCTAAATATTTTTATGGGACAATTCATAATTTGTGGTAAATATTACTGTAAGATACATGATACAAGTTTTTAATTTTATAGGAAGATGCGACGTACGATGCTACTAATCCTTTGGGATTGAGGATCGTGAGGCAGGTTGGACCAGACAGTATTTTAATAGAATGGAACCAGCCGCCTCCTGGAAAAGTCAATTGTTTTGAGGTAATTCTTTGAGCCATACCAGTTATCTTCTATAATTAAGTTATTACTATGTAGTACTTAGTCCAGACAATGAATGCTCAATTTTTTTTTTTTTTTTAATTAGTCATAGTCGATGATGAGAAATTAAGCGAGGTAGCGAAAAAATATATAGAATCAATCATATTGCAAATTTTATCAGCTTTAATTTTATATAGAACGTCTTTGTCAATGCGATGGATAGTTTTCCTGATATAAACGAAAATCCCAAAATAATTACCTTATAGGCACCCTCCTCCTCCTCCTCTCCCTCCCTCCCTCCCATATCTGGCTCCAAAGTCCAACAATGTCGTAAAGTCTAAAATTGTGACCTCGCCATTTCCTTCTATAATCATTCATTGACTGGACTAACTTGTGTAATTCAATATGTATTTCATTGTAAATAACTAAACAAACTCAATAAAACAATTTAATACATTGATTTAAGAAAAGTTATATGAAGGAAATATATAATCTTCTTAATGAATGTATTGTAATACTGCTTCAGCATTACTATTCAAGAATTTACTGTATATGCAATACTGTATTTAACCTATAACAAATGGAGATAGTTCAATGATGCTAGTAGATGCAGATGAAGGTGTCCAGCAGTGGGGACTCTTGTCCTATTAAATTGATTATTAAATTATTGGATCCAAAATCCTTAATGCTCCCTACTTTGTCACAAATAAAATCATCCATAATGACTTTAATGTACCATATGTTTCCGATTTAGCTCAATCCAGATACCTGTCCTTTCATAATAAACTTCTGAACCATCCGAACCCTCTCGTTTCCATCCTTGCTTCCTCTTCTATTCCTAATAACCTTCCGAGGCGTCAGAAAAGAAGATGGCCTCGGGACCTTCTAATATAGAAATATAATTGGAGTGCTACCAATGGGTAGTTTCTCTTCATGTTTTACATGTCATCTTACTTGTTCATATTTACTTGTTGTATTTATTATTAATTACAGTTGTAAATTTCGTTAATAAAAAAATAAAAAAAATTATTGGTTTTAATGTTGACAAACTAGAGGTGGACATTTATTTTATGATGATGATATACTAGTATGAAAGCCATAGATTTAACTAATCGAAATCTCTTCGGCTTTCATTGAAATTTACTAGTCTGAGCAACAAATTATCATATCAGACAGTGGGCCTAATATATAATATGATAATTTGTTTTCCAATTAACAATCATCATCTGTAATTTTGTTAATGCCTATATATTATTGATCAGAAACAGTATAATTATTACTGCTAAGTATCTTCTAATTTATTTCAAAATGTTCACATTTTGATGATTTACCACAAAATAACTGGTTATGTGTTTGGAATTGTTTCTTCTATCTGAGTTCTAATATTTATTGGAAACACTATCATTATTACTGTTTTCAATGATTGACAGATTAAACTTCAGTAAGGGATAGGAATGGTTTGAAAAAAACAACAATGAATATTGTTAATACTCTTTTTAAACTAAATATTGCAAAATAATACCACTGATGATACTGTAAGATCAGAATAAATAATATTTATTATTAGAAATCTTTCAATTTCTTTATAAATATTGTTTTTCTTTCTGTTGTTATAGGTATATGTGAATGGAATGTTCTTGCTAAGAGTGAGAAGCCCAGGTAGGACGAAAGCCCTCCTTCATCCAATAGACCTTACAGAGAAGTTATTCATCACGCTCAATGCGATCGCGTACACAGGAGTACCCTACGAGGGTGTAACCATCCCATACCCGTCCTAACTCAACATTTTCTAGTCAGACCCCCATCTAAAATTTATATTATATATTGTAAATATGTAAATACATCATCATCCTTAAAAAGGAAGACAAATATTGAAACTGTATTTTCATACTCAAATATAAAGTTTTAATAATATGTATATGTATTTTTTTTAGTCATCCAGCATCCATTCTTGTTATTTCTGCCACTTTTTAATGTACTTGCATCCATTTGAGCAGTTCAATGTAAATTTCAGTCTTCACAATTATCATAGAGTTAGATACTGCTCTAAGAGTTCCATGCAGCTAAAAAAGATGTTTTAGATATTTAAGTGCATTCCTTTAGAGAATTGGTTATTATTTGAATAATTACTCAATTCCCTACAAAATAAAAAATGAATAAATCAAAATATATTTGTACCTACTGAAAGAGCAGAGTGGATTCAAATATTTTTTTAACAAAAAACAGAGCTGAGATTTGTATTTAGCACTTCTGTAAACCCTCAAATACGAATTTTCATAGCAATCGAAAAATAAAAATTTTTTACTTCAAATTTTCATCAAGGCTAATTCGATTTATTTCCAAAATTACAAAAATTTTGATAACCAAGGATTTTGATGAATGAGTTATCAAATGAAAGACGATTTCATGGAGACATGATGAACCACATTCACATCCTCCTGAAATTTCAGTGGGAAAAGGGATGAAGGTAAAGAAACTTTATTTGCCAATAAGTAAAAACTTTTACAATTTTTTGTTGGTATGCACCAACGATTATTTACAAATGATGTACAGATATAATATGAGAAGGAGTTGATCCGGGGGTGTGGTCAAATTAATAATAAATTAAACAAGTAGAATTATTTAATTTTTGCCTATGTTTCGACCCACTTTGCAGGTCTTCATTGCAGGTCACTTAAGTGTTTCAACTGCCTACCGCCGTGCTACATCCTACACCGTGATGAAGACATGCAAAGTGGGTCGAAACGTTGGCAAAAATTAAATAATTCTACTAGTTTAATTTATTATTAATTTGACTGCACCCCCCGATCAACTCCTTCTCAGATTATTTACAAAAATTACTCAATTCCCTACAAAACAAAAAAAAAATCGAAATATATTTGAAATTTGTATATTTGTAACAATTTATACTCCAACTGAAAGACCAAAGTGGATTCAAATATTTTTTTAAAGAGAAACAGTTAAGATTTGGAATTTCCACATCTAAATATTCTCAAATATGACATTTTTTTTTTTAAATTTTGTTCTCTAGAAAATTAAAAAAAATATATATATAAATAATTAGTTTTATGAAGGAAATAATAATCATAATCTAATTAAAGTTGATATAACTGCAATTTATTGGTCTATAAAGCAACAGAATTCATGTATTACATTTTAATATAAATAATAACACAATAAAAATAATTGTAAAACAAATCTAAACTCCATTCATAAAAATATAACTTTGCATACGATAGCAAAAATTATATACGAAGTACAAGGCTGGTTGATATTCATACCTCGTAAAATACCTCATAATCTTGTACAAATATGAGGATCCTTGTAGGAACGACAACACTGTTTGTATAGTTTTTATCTTTTGTCATACTTATATTATCTAAAAAATTAGTTTTGATACATATGTTCAACATCAAATCAAAACTTAATACTTAAGTCATGCTAATAAATTCTTTCATAAAATATATTAATAATAATAATAATAAGGCTTAGCGAACCCGAAGGTTCGATGCCGACACCACCAATCGCTTGTTACACACCTCCCTCCACCGTTCGCCGTCCAAACCCAGTCCCTTCAGATCGGCTTTAATGCAATCTTCCCACCTTCGCTTCGGTCTACCCCTCGGACGCTTACCATTCGGCACAGCAAATATTAACCTTTTAGGAATTCTCTCGTTACTAAGCCCAACAACTTTACAAGCCCATTTGATTCGCCGCGTAGAAATTACATCAATTATATTACCCGGATACAGCTCACGCAATTCGGCGTTGTGTAACCGTCTGAACTCTCCGGTTAACTCATCCTTCTTCGGTCCGAATATTCTACGCAATACTTTATTTTCAAAAACCTTAAGACGCTGCTCATCCCTTAATGTAAGCGGCCAAGTTTCGCATCCATAAAGAACTGTAGGCAAGATAATTGTTTTATAGATTCTAATTTTTAAGTTTCGGGACAAGAGGCGCGAACTAAGTAGTTTTGTCACAGAAAAATAACAAGCATTCCCCGCCTTCAGTCTAACCTTAATCTCTTCTTCAATTTCGTTTTTTCTAGTTATTGTAGAACCTAGATACCTAAACTTCTCTACCTGTTCAAATATATTTCCTTCTATATCGATATCACCCGCAATAACGCCATTTTTGCAGCTAACCATATATTTTGTTTTATCCACGTTTATTTCGAGTCCTAGTTCTTTACCGGCTTTCATTAAAGTTGTCGTATTTAGTTTTATAGTTTCAACGTCTTCGCTTAACAGTACCAGATCATCAGCATAGCCCAGCACGGATGTTGTCCCGCCCAGATCCAACCCTTTCTCGGTTCGCATTACCTCCCTAATGGCATGTTCTAATGCCAAATTGAACAGGACAGGCGAAAGAGAATCCCCCTGTTTTAAGCCCGAACGAACCTCAAATTTTTCGGACAAATTATTACCGATTCTAACTTTATTGAGTGTCTCCGTCAAGCACATCCTG